TCACATTAAAGTAAATTTTAATAATCAAGTGCATTTCATTGAGCAAAGGTACGAAGGACTTTGTTCCAAAAACCTAACTCATCCAAGGGAGAGCATGATACTTCCAGAAAGTTCTATGGTATCATCCATAGAATTTGATTTGGGATATGAATCAGAAAATATTGCCTTCCTTTTATAAATGTTCCTTATCTTTCCACCATATTACTTCAGAAGTATCACTGTTAGGATTATACCATTGGTCCAGAAGCCTGGAGTTAGATGGTCTGAAGACACCACAAACAAAATTTCACTTGCTCATGTCATATCCTCTTCTCACAGAAATCCTGAGGAGAAGAATAAGAGAGAGGATTGAGAGTGATAAAATATACCCATAAATTTGTGGCAGACTGCAAAGAATGTTCCTCTCACTATTGGAGGCACAGTTGACTTGTTCAAAGTTTTTAGCTGATCATGCTGAGAACTTTTCATCTAAAATTCCCCCCCCCCCCAAATTCATGAGCAACTGATAACATGGATATTAGAGAGATGGAAACAGATACAGACAATCAGAGTTGGAAGGGATCTTGTAGGTCATCTAGTCCAACCCCCCACCTAAACAGGAGACCCTACACCATTTCTGAAGGCAGACCATGTTTTGATCCTCTCTCTAGAGCAGTGAGTGATAAAAGAGCTGAGGAACCTCTTTCTAAGATAGTGTTGTTGTTTATCTGCATTAAGAATGTAGGAGCAAATGATTTTTAATTTAGATTTTTTTTTCCTATTCTTCTCTCTTTATTATTTTTATAAATAACTCAAGCCAGAGAACATTCCTAATGCTCCTTCCTCCTCCTATTTTCCCCACAACAACAACAACCCTGTGAGGTGGTTGGGCTGAGAGAGAGAGAATGACTGGTCCAAGGTCATCCATCTGGCATTCATGCCTAAACCAGGACTACAAGTCATAATCTCCTGGTGATTGGCCCAAAGTCACCCTGTCAACTTTGATGCCTATGGTGGGACTAGAACTCACAATTTCCTGATTTCTAGCCTGGTGTCTTACCCACTAGACCAAACTTAATTGTAAGGAACCTAGCTATGTGTATAGCAGTTGTCTATAGACAACTCTGTAGTTGTCTGCTTTGCTTTTCATTCCACTGTGGACTGATTTACTTTAGTTTCATATATTTTGTTTTCAGAATTAGGGTATAATTTGGGGTTCTCTACAATATTTTTCTTTTTCTGCTTTGCAGCCGAGAAACTGCACTGAACAATCTACCATCATGCTAAAAAAAAAAGAGAGAGGGGGGGATTAAAAGAAATAAAGAAGCAACTATCCCTGAGGATGTACAGAGTTTAGAATTCTTTTAAATAAATCCGGCCATCCTTCTTACATCTGGAAGGATTTGAAGACACAGAACTTGCAGTGCTGGGAGGATGTTGGGTTGCCTTCCCTGCTCCCATCCTTTTTAAACATTCCCCGCCACCCGAAAGCTTAAGAATGGTGACAATAAAGCCCCAAATATAAAGTATTGGTTCAAAAGCAGAAACTGAAGGGATTTTTATTTCTGAAGCCAGGGATGGAAACGGTACATGAGCTCCACTCAGCGTCACTTTTGGGATTGCCTGCTGTGTGTGAGTGAGTGAGTGTGTGTGTGTGTGTGTGTATGGAACAGGGGGGATTTCTGTCTCGAAGTTGTGTATTCTTGTAATTTTATAGGGTTCCTGGAAGATGAAAGCCATTCCAGCTAGAGAACCAAGTCGGGGAGCAGAGGTGGCTCAGGCAAAGTTGTCATATTAGGGTGATTTATCAAAGGAGCGGTTGAAATATTGATAAAGGAAGGAGGGAGGTAATCCAGGGAGAGAAAAGGAAGGGAGAGGGTCTAGGCATGAGAAAGGGGGAAAGGATGCTGTGTCGAGTCATTTAAAAAAATATATAAAACATACCCTTAACCCCGAGGATATGTGAAAACTACTGCAGTCTGCAAGATTTCTTCAGACAGGAAAGGAAACTCACTTCCTTGTTGCTTCCAGTTGATCTTGTTCTTGAGGATAGAGTGCGGGGAAAGCTATCTTTTGCGATAATGTGGCTGCTGGACTAATAGATCTGGGGAAGAATTTTTTTATTCAGCTTCTCCCTAGTCATAGTGGATCTGGATTTCTCAATCATCCAACTGGCTGAAGACAAAGTACGCTCCATAAGGTAAGTGTTTGCTGTGTTTTTTGCAGCTTTAGCAAAGCAAAGAAAAAGAAAAGCTTGACTTGTGTGGGTTTTTTTAATGTTGTGAGGTTTCATAGGAGTGGAAATGTTCCCGCTACTTCCATCCAATTCTGATTGTTTTACACAGGTAGTTTCACTTCAGTCAAAGTTGCATGTTGTCCGTAGCAAATATATATGTATATCTGGGATCAGTGAGGAGAGAATGAAGATTAGCCAGCAAAGAGGGAGAAGGAGGGAGAGAGAGAGACAAAGGAGATGTTAAGGATAACTGTCTTTAAGTCCAGGAAGAAGTTTGTTATCATTCTGTTCTTTCAGAAAAAAAAATTGCAGGAGAAATAAAAATTGAAACATCCTAAGATTATTTTCCCTCATTGATTTCCTCTAGAAGTATTATAGAATTGCTTTCAACATTCCTGGTTCGTGCTGATTGAGGATTATGATGGTTGAGGATGGTGGAAAGTGAAGTTGTGCACAATTATAGGATGCCAAGTTAGGAAAGATTGTATAGAGTGTGAGAACGATATCTTCTGGAGTTTATCGGAGCTACAACTGAGAATAATTACCCTTTTGTTCCAATTGGTTGGCCAATGCATAAGGTAATTGATGCATTTGGAAAAATCAAAGGTTTCGGTAAAGAAAATAGGATGTCCTCAGAAAGAGGGAAAAATGATAAAACTGAATTTTTAAACATTATCATTTGGAAATAACCTCAAATCCCCATGTTAGCTAAAAACGTAGATCTCTATATTCCTGAACAAGCTCCACTGTAATGAATGAAGATGCTTGCTCCAACTCAGCTAAGGCAGACATCTAGTAACACTTGTGTTGAGCTTCAGAAATATTTCTGTTGTGCCCCCAATCTGGCCAAGACAGATTTGAGATGGAGTGTGAATGCTCATCCATGGCTGGCTTTCAAACCAACTTCATTTCTTTTAACAACACTGAACAGGAAATGCACATTTAGGATAGACAAGCTGTGTCTGTGGCAAGAATTTAATCTGGTTTGCATTTGCAAAGGTCTGTGTTTGAAGCATTGTACGCCGGTCTTATGTTTTATATACTACGAAGCAACACTTTTTCCTGGGTTTTGTGGAACTGACTTCTAAGTAAACATATGGAGAACACACAGGTCACAGTTTAAGCAGAAGGCAAAGGTCATGCCTTAGAGAAGAAACAAAATGAATTGAATTCCCCTATAGTTTTTGAAACACTTAAAACCCAGTTCTTTTCATTTTGGTGGTTTTTGCATATTTGCGAGATGAATTTTCCAATAATAATCATGGATAGCATTCCAGTCCTATTGTTAGCATTTTTAAAAAAACAATCCCTCTTCACCAAATTTTTGCATAACATTTTTATTGAAATAGATCTGTCTCCCTTCCAAGGAATGTCTAATAAATCCTCTTTTTAAATTTATTGTTAGCATATTTTAACTGAGAAGAAGGGCAACTTTCTGCTTGATTCTTCCTATCACTCTTTCCCATTTCTTACAACATTACGCTTCGTTATAAGTCAGATTATAAGTTGGATTTGCTTCTAAAGAAAAAGAAAAAAAAGCAACCTTGGTCAGTCTGAACTATACATGCCTCATTTAGAGATTAGATCTTGGGATCCTTTTAATGCGTCTGCGTTTAGGTTTCGGAGAAAGTGACTCTGTAAAAACAGCCATTTATTTTGACAGCAGATATAACACTGGCCATGTTACTTCCAGTGTTGATAACTCCCATCCAGACGTGTTTACATGACCAAACAGAGCAGTCGTTGTAACTACTGTACAGGGGTTCAGTGGCCAAAGAGTAGTGGCAAAGGAACAGTCTTAATTTACTCAAATAGTAAATGCAAGTATTAACATTATCTCTCATCCATATCTCGGACTGACTTTGCTGTTGTTAGCGGTGGTTATTGGAGAAAGAGATAATGGGCTAATAATTCCGGAAACAAGGATACTGGGTAATGAGAGTTTCATCATTGCTTAATACTTGTTGATAATTATGGAATGTCAGCATACAACAACAGTTCAATGCCATTGATTTAAATGGCAGCAAATTAAACAGTCTGTGCTCATTAATGACAATAGGAGCTTAAGTAGTTAGTTTCAACTGGCCAGTGGCCAAGGATTTGCATAATTAGACCAATGGCTATATACCACACACATACAAACATACAACCCCTCCCCCCACATACACAACTAATAAAACTGAAATATAGGCATTTCATCCCTTTTTTTTAAAGTAGAAAGTGTCTGTACTTTGCTGTGTGTTGATATTATTTTGTAGGAATAAAGTTGTTTAAGCAAATGTCTTTTCTCTTTCTTTTTTCCAACTTCATCTGCACCACATATGGGGTGCTAAAAAGAAATACCCCTAAATGTGTCTGAACAAGTAAGAAAAACAGTGCAATTCATTAAGTTTTATAGAACCATGTCAACATCTCCTTCTCAGTACCAATGTTAAAGGGCATTCGCTTTTCCATGCATGACAATTTCTGTACAGCATTGATTGTAAATGCCTTTAATCGAATTAATTGGCATTTTGGAGAATCAAATATCAAGAGAAAACCTCTCCCTCCTTCTCTTCCTCCTTCCTGCTTATTCTTTTTGTCTTTTCAAGAAAATCCAGACAGACAATTAAAAAAATAACCCAACAAAGAATGAAAACAAATCATTTTTGTGGGGGCTTCTTTCCCTAAAGAATGCTTCTGCATGAGGTGTCATGATTAGATTTACACATAATGACACTTTTTGGAATCTATTTGTTCTTATTACAAAAAGGACACCTTCAAACTTGGGGCTCCCTTTAGTTCATATCTCTTCTACTCCTTCTAGGTTGGTTTGAAGGCTCTTTCAGACATCCAGTTGCAAACCAGGATGTTCCAGACTGTCCCAGACACTTCGTCTTACGTCAAGGTAAGACCTGACACCATCTTGAAGCAGGTAATGTCCAATATTTACAATATTCATATATTCAATCCACCATTTGTGGTGTCTGTTCAAAAGTGTAGCTTTTGTGTCAACTGATGAATGGAGAAGGACAATCAATGGGAACAGTTAGTTATCAACCATTTACCTCCAATTGAACTGTACTTTGCACCTTGAGAATGCATTTGTATAATGTAACTTGTTCAATATTGGCAGTTCTACCTTATTTGGCTTTCTTTTCTGGTGTGTTAAAGAGGGGTATTTGTTTTGATTCACACATATTTAGGAGCTCCAAGTAACCACCTTAATTTTGAACCACCCCAAACCTGTTCTTGTCTCTTCCGTGTCGCATGTATTTTGTGTGTTTGTGAGTGCATTCTGACTGATCCAGTGGAAAGGAAATGAAGAGAAGAACTAAGGAGAAATTTCCTGGCAGTTAGAACAATTAATCAGTGGAACCAATTGCCTCCAGAATATGTGAATGCTCCAACACTGGAAGTTTTAAAGAAGAGATTGGACAGCCATTTGTATGAAATGGTGTAGGGTTTCCTGATTGAGCAGGGGGTTGGACTAGAAGACCTCCAAGGTCCCTTCCAATTCTGTTATTCTGTTAAGGAATGTTGTTTCCCTCTGGGTGTGTGTTTTCCCATGGAATTCAAGAACAAAATGTTCTTGCTTATGTCAGAGGATGTGCGTAAGAAAAGCATTTAAGTTTCAAGAAGTCCTGCCACACCAGAATCGGCCTTGTAATATCCGGGTGATTTGTTCCCTTCAGCTTCTGTTTATTCTTAATTTCCTTGAGAATTCTTGTCCCGTGTCTCTTGGTGTTGTTTTAGAATGGATACGGTTCTTGAAGGTGATGTAAGTTCTACTGTTGGGATTGGTTATGTTTCATGGAGGCCTCCAGGCTGTCTACACTTTCCAATCAGACCAAATGACACACAAGGAGTGGTTGCCTACCCTGGGGATTGAATGGAAGTGTTCAAAGCCAGGAAGGCTATGGATCTCAGATTATGGCACAAGGAAAACCAGGAATTCCACCCGGATGCCTTTAGCAACTGAAAATTTCTCTTTGTAAAACACATTTCATCAAATTGAATGGGAAATGGGTCAAAAGAAAGTAGACGTTACCAGATTTATGTATTTATTTATTTATTTGGTCTGCATCATCCCGCATGCAAACATCACAAGATTTTAGATACATCTAGAAGGGTTTAGCCCTCCTTACAACCGACTTCTAAGTACAGATAATGCTCAAGTTATGACCACAATGGAGCCCAACACTTCTGTTGCTAAGCAAGGCAGTTATTCAAGTTTTGCCCTGTTTTATGCCTTTTTTGCCACCGTTGTTAAGCGAATCACTGCAGTTGTTAAGTGAACCACACAGTCATTAAATGAATCTAGGGTCCCCATTGACTTTGCTTGTCGGAAGTTGGCTGGGAAGATTATACAGACCCCAGGACAGTTGACAAGTAGCCAAGTTTTGATCACATGACCATGGAGACGGTGCAACGGTTGTATGTATGAAAACTGGTCATAAGTTACCTGCTTCAGTGTTGTTGCAACTTAAAACAGTCACTAAATGAATGGCTGTAAGTTGAGAACCATCTATATAGCCCTTCCTGAAGGAATGGATCTCATCATGTAGGGAATCTTAAGAATTAAATCTTTTATTTTTTTCCCCTGCTGCTTGTAGCTAGCCTTTAAGAATCAAAATTCCTTTCTCGAAATCCTTTTTATATATTTCTTGGCCTTGTTATAATAGTAGGACAAGGTACTTGGAAGAAGGAAGGAAGTTTTAAATGTTAACAGGCATCTACATGCTGAATTTTCAATCAGGGAACGGGATTAGTAATAAGTGAACATTGTAAAATAATCTCTTCCACTGCTCAGTCAGTGAGAGGTTTTTGGGCTTGGTGGCAAAACTGCAACAAAGTCCTTAGTCCTTGTAATTTATTTTAAATATGCTACCAGAACTCCACTTTTCATGTGCTTAGAAACCTATTTATTTAGCATATGGCATGTCATACATGAACTTGCAATGTATACTGTATATAAGAGCGGGTCAAATTATTTTCCAAAGCACCGGAAGCAGGACAAGAAACAATGGTTGGAAACTAATCAAGGAGAGAACCAACCTGGAATTAAATAGAAACTTCCTAACAGTGAGGACAATTAACCAGTAGAACAGCTTCCCACCAGAAATCGTGGGTGCTCCAATCACTGGAGGTTTTTAAGAAGAGCCTGGACAGTCACTTATCTGAAATAGTATAGGTTCTCCTGCTTGACCAGCGGGGTGGACTAAAAGACCTCCAAGTTATCTTCCAGTTCATTAGTTCTATTCTAATTAAATTCCACCTAGATTTTAAAAAACACAGTAAAATATGAATGTTAAAAATGTCTGTGTTCAGAGACCAATGGCTAGGTCATCGAACCATTGAAACGTAGCAGCATTTGTATGAAAAAAAAATCAGAAACCGGACCAGTGTATGCCCTAATCCTACAACTGCTCACAATGTGATCTACACATTGTGTATGACAAGTTTATCTACGCATTGTGTATGATCAGTATACACATTGTGTATACGTGTATGATGAGGATTATACGCCCATTTATATGCTGAGTTCCAGCAGATGTTGTGTGAGGTGCAAATCCTACTCAGGGTTGTCCATTGCTGGCATGATAGTTCTAAGCTGGGCACTTGTTTTTTAGGGAGTCATTTATATGTCTTCCTAGAATGGTGTGGTAATTTATCTTCTAAATAAAACTCCACATTGGCAACAGGAAGGGCATCCAGCCAGTAAACACTCAGCTCCATTCAGTTGCCCAGACACCACCCTGCAAGGGATTATGAGGTCATTAAATGAGGATGATGGTGATTTATATGTCTTCCTAAGAAACCTATTGAACACATGGCATGGGCCTGGTTACTTGAGGGACCGCTTCTACAATTACATCCACCTGTCCCATGAGGTCCAACACAAGAGCAAGCTGGCAGGCCCAAGGAAGACAGCCAATTGTCTTGTAGTGTCCAACTTTAGTGCCCAAAACTTGGTTTTGTCCCAGGCCTGAGGGTCAGGAAGTGAGGCTGAGCTCATACATTGGTTCTGCCAATTTGTGAATAACGAGTTGGTTTTTAGTCCAGCTGCTATTTCTCTGTGTGTTGTTTTTCTGTTATTTATGAATGTGCGATGGAAGATGTATACATTGAAATAATAAATAAATATAGGGTCAGTAAATACAGATTCACAGTGGTTAGCAGGGCACTTTTGCCTTCCTTACTTGGCTGAAAGTATCACTGCATATCTCTGTTTAATATATCTCCTGCTGGCTAGACTAATATTCTCAGACTAAGTTCTAGCCCTTCATCCCAGTTCATTTTCTCCCCTGATTTTGTCCTGGGCAGTTCAGATGCTTCCTGAGCCTTCCTTCCCCTCCCTCCATAATAAGCACAGGCACCATATAGGCCCTTAGCTCTAGACAGACTCTTTATTTTCCTTCCTATAAGCCCCATCCCCCAGGACACTTTCTTACAAAATGGGGCTTCAGTATTTCTCTCCCCATGCATTCTTTCTTTCCCCTGCATAAAATCATCAGCTGCTATTCAACACACGGATTCTTTCATAACCTGGGCTGCATTTCTCTTAGAAGCTATAATCCTGCACAGCTTTAACACCATCGTTTTTTCCCAAGCTGACCAGGGCATAGCTTCCTTACGACTGACTTTGAGTAGGCATCAAAGATTGGAAGTGAAGCTAAGGATTTCATAGAAAATTTGGGTTTTGAAGCCAACCTTTGGAAGTAGAAGAGTAGGCATGCAATGGATCTTTGCTTCAGACTGGGCAGATTCTAAGAAGTTTATAGAATACTAAAAAAGAAAAGAGAGAGAGAGAAACTAGCTGAGTAGATGAGACAAAAACCAGAATGTCCTGGTATTTCTGCCTTAAACCGAACAGAGGTTTGCTCAGCTAAATTGGAGAAGGAAAAATACAGAGAGGAAAATGTGTTTGGCACGTAAGAGCTGCCATTTGTTTTCACGAACAGAGACATTTGAAACAGATGATTAAAATCTTGGTCACAAATGTGGGTTCTTTCAGAACTCCCTTGGACCCAGGATTATGTTTAAATAGCGCACACATGCCCATGTACACATACATGCACAGACATTTTTTTCCCCCTTTTTCCCTACAACATTTCTCAAGAATGTAAACAAACCAGGCCTGAAACATCTGGATTACACATTTTAAAATCAACTCCAGTATGTATCAGAATTCTAAATGCAGGCAGCTGCTGCTTTGCTTGTCGAAAGAAGGGTGTGATAAAACCCATGCATTGTGTGAAAATTGCTTCTTTCCTCTTTGTCAGGCTGGTCTGTGAACTTCGCAACGGGATTCTTTATAAACAGAAATGACAGTAACATCCAAAGACAGACACCCCACCATTTTGACAACGGGTTCTCGGTCCAGTTGCTGAATGGGCGTGGCCATGGTGGGCGTGGCCTAGTCGGCCTCCTGCACCACAGCCCGGGGGGTGCTTTTTGCCCTCCCTGGTCTCCGGGGGCTTTCCTTGAGCCTCCGGGAGGGTGAAAACGGCCTCCCTAGGCTCCAGAGGCTCTCTGGAAGCTGGAAAGGGGCTCATTTCTGGCCTTTCCAAACTTCCCCGAGCCTCCGTGCATGCCCTGCACTTACCTGCATCCAAAATGGGCCACATGGGGACTCCTGGGAGGGGATCGATGGGCAGGGGTGGGATTTGGGGGTTCTCTGAACTGCACAGAATCTTAGCTAGGGGCTCTCCTGCGAACCCCCAGCCCTGAACCCCACCCCACCTGACCTGGACCATTCAGCCATTGGTGCAACAGAGTCCTATGGATGTTTACTTACAAGTCAGAAAAATCCCACAAGGTTCACCGACTTGTTTATGAAGATATTCCATATCTTACACATCAGATTAAAAAGCAGTGAAGTTGCAAAAATTTATATTTCCTAGCTTGGAACTATGCAACTCAAGGGACCCAAAATATCTGATTCAAACGAAGTGAAATATTATCAGCCTCTGACATCCCGGGTTCAAGACCCAGGTGCTATGCAACAGGGTGAGCTCCCATTAGTTGCCCCAGCTCCTTTGAGGGGCTGCCATAGAGAGGAGGAAGGGGTCAAGCTATTTTCCAAAGCACTTGAAGGCCAGACAAGGAATAATGGATGGAAACTGACCAAGGAGAGATTCAACCTGGAAATAAGGAGAAATTTTCTGACCGTGAGAACAATCAACCAACAGAACAGAAGTTGCCCTCGGAAGTTGTGGGAACATCATCCCTGGAGGCTTTCAAGAAGAGACTGGACATCTGTCAGAAATGGTATACGGTCTCCTGCTTGGGCAGGAGGTTGGGTTAGAAGACCTACAAGGTCCGTTCCAACTTTGTTAATCTCTTAGTCTGTTAATCCTGCCAACCAAGCAATTTGAAAGTTTGCCAATGCGTGTAAATAAATAGAGACCACTTTAGTGGAAAGGTAATGGCATTCTGTGTGCTTCGGTGCATACAGGTAGTCCCCACCTTATGACCACAAATTTTTGTTATGTGAGACAGTTCTTAAGTGGATTTTGCCCCATTTTATGTCTTTTCTTGCCACAGTTGCTAAGTGAATCACCGCTATTGTTAAATTAGTAGCATGGTTGTTAAGTAATTCCAGATTCCCCATTGACTTTGCTTATCAGAAGGTTGGAAAAAGGTGACCCCAGGACATTGCAAATGTCATAAATAGGAGTCACTTGCTTAGTGTCTGAATTTTGACCACATGACCATGAAGATGCTGCAATGGTTCATAAGTCACTTTTTTCGGTGCCGTTGTAACTTTGAATGGTCACTAAATGAGCTGTTGTAAGTCAAGGACTACCTGTAGTCATGCTGGCCACATGACCACAGAAGTGTCTTTGGACAATGCTGGAAACTCTTGGAACCTGAGTGTTAAAAGCTCAGTGGGATCTTCAACCATGGCTTGGAGACCTCTTGATTTGGAGTTGGAGAGCATCAAGATTGTATCATGCTCCCAATGCCAGCAATGGGGACATGAAAAGACCTCAGCTACTCCTGAAAACCAGCTCAGAAATAACTATTTGCAAAGGTTGAACAACTGCTTGTATGTTCTTCTGTTTTATCCAAGCCCAATCTTCTTATCTACTAATGTTAGGTCTACAGAAACAAGAGTGGGAGAAATCCATATCAATTGGATCAAAACCGTGACTTAGCAAGGAGCTATTACATATCTTCTCTTGTACCCTCTCAATGCTTTTTGCAAAAAAAAGCTTAACTGTCAGTTCCCAATCTTTTATCCTTTATTCCACAGTCACCATTTGAATTTTATTCTTCTCTTGCTGGCATCTCCCATACCCACACAAGCACACTGTAAAGCATCAAATTTTAGTCTGACCATTTTCCCTCCCCAGAATTGAAGCATAAGCTTTTACACTACTGAACAAACTGATTTAATCTTTTTTTACATTTCAAATTTAAGCTGTTGAAAACAATATTTTCCTGCATGGAATGCAGAATGATTAAACCGTAACAGGACTCACACAATGATATACAAAAGGCAGCTTTCATGCTCTCTTCTGCAAATTAGATGCATTGATTAAGCATTGCGTGTGTGGTAGCCAACGGCAAATTTGTTTTTCAACGGTGGATTTTATACTTGTTTCCATTCAAATGTATAATGTCTGTAAAGCCATTGGCATAGCTCTCTAGCAAACTAACCACTTCCCAATTGAACAGGATGGCTACTTATTTAAAAGGTATCATGCCATAATCAGCTCACCTCAGGCTTTATAATTGTTATAATTATTAGAAATTCCTCCAAGAAGTATGGTTTGGTGAGAACATTTGAGACCTTCATTCCCTCATGGAGATTCCAAAGCATTTTCATTGCAGAAAATGAACTGCAATGGTTTTATATATATATCTTTCAGAACAAGGAAAGATAAGTCAAACCACCTGAAGTCTGAGCATTAGCATTTTTTTTTTTAGTGATTAGCTCTTTGAAAAATTCTCCTGGTTCCTTGTATAGGGAATACCTTTACAAAATGTTTTATTGTTGGCATCTAGCACCATCGAGATTGCCCAAGATGTATCCAAGTTTTAGCCCAATATATTGGAAGTGTAAACCATCAACAGGTACCTTCTTTCCAGTGGTGGTATTCAAATAAAGTTGCTACTGGTTTGGTGGGCGTGTCTTGGGCATGCTGTGCACACCTGCACACACTTTGCACGCATGTGCATGCCAAACGTGCACTTTGCGCAAACACAGAGGCATTCTAACTCGCCTCCTGCAAGCCTGCACGATGCCAGTCACTGCAGCAGCTGCCACGCGGTGTTATTCTGTGCCGCGCAAAGCAGCTGCACTTCGAATCCTGGCCATAAAAGTGAGTATGGGAGACCGGGAGGGCAGGTCGGCCAAACACAGAGCAGTGGAGAGAACTGGTTCCATCTCCTCTGCTCATCACCGCTACCAGCTCTCCAGAACCGGGCAGAACCGGTCAAATGCCACCACTGCTTCTTTCACATGTGGTGGCTGTGCCCCAAAGCCAAAACATTCTGGAATAAAATAAAAATTTGGCTGCAAGAAATAACAAAGGAAAAACTGGAATTCAAACTGGAAATGTTTTTATTAGGGATGATGAGAGGTGAATATAAAAAAGAAATCAAATATCTCATAATACATATTCTGACAGCAGTGAGAATAACCTATGCCCCAAATTGGAAAATGGAGGGTAATCCCATGGATAATATGTTAATTTAAAAAATTATGGATTGTGCGGAACTGAATAAGCTTACTATGGAGCTGCAAGAGAAGTAAAAAAGAGAATTCTATACAGTCTAGGAGAATCTATATACTTGGGTAGATAACAGGAATAATAGATAATATATAATGTAAATATGAATAATGTATATAGGTATAGAGATATGAATAATGGAAGGTGGAAAAAACCAATGCTACTGTAAACATGACTTGTGGTTTTTTTTTTTATTGTAAAACTTTCATAAAATTTATTTTAATTAGAAAAAAATCATAAAAAAAAGAAAAAGAAAAAAATCTCCTAGTTCAATTGAGGTGTGAGCTTGGTACTGGTTAAAATTACGTACTGATCAAATTATTCTTTGGTCAATTAGTTGGTTCTCTTAATTCTTCAAGATACCTTTCACTAAATGAACTGCTGTAAATCGAGGACTACCTGAATTAAGGAAATTTTCATTCCTCATAACTGCATTAATATGTGGGCTTATCGGGAAAGAGTGTAGATAATAAGCATGGATCTCTGTAATTGCATTTCTTCTCTGGGTCCAATTAAAATTATTCTTTTGCTACTTAGGATAGGAAGAGAAGAATGAGATTTCCAGTGAGTAGAAAATGATGACATTCAATACATAATAGAGCAGCCCAAAATATTGATCATCATCGATAGAAACGAATAATAAAATGCTGCTAAACTTTACACTTTACATAACGGTAACAACAACCACAAATGGAATTTGCTACATTTCTTAAGGACACATGATCTCACCATACTATATGCCTTATTCAACCAAACAATTCAGTTCATCTTTTCATGCAAAATGATGCCAATTCTGGGCTTTTATAGAAGACGTATTGTGGGTCTGACTAACTAGAGGGTTGCCCTGCCTTGTGTTGGGATTTGGGGAATCCTGCTGTTAACTGTTCCAAGGTTGCTTTTCATTTGTGTTGATCTAAAATTATACAGCAAAGCGCCCATTCCTACTGAACTCAGATAAAAAATGAATGAGCCCTTAGTTATTTGGGGCATTCTTAGCGGGACAGCGAGATGCATGACATGGGCTGCATTCCAAAGTATGAAGTCTAAAAACTTTCCTGATATTATCATGATCTGTAGACAAGCAACAGAGGTTTGTTTGTTTGTTTCAAGGACAGATTGTTTCAGACCAAGCCTGTTTTCACTATTCGAGTGGAAAGGAAGCTAAATAACTCATATAATATTGAATGCACACACAAATCCAGAATTCAAGTATAAATAAAGTAAACTTGGGAATAGCTAAAGCTGAGTTAATGGCAGACACACTTTGCTTGCAAAAGTTCTCACATTTAGCCTAGGGCATCTCCCGATAGGAGAGGAAATGGCTTCTGTTTGAAACCGTTAAGAGTTTATTCCTAGTTGATTCGGCCAAACTAGGCAACCTGATAGGCTCCAAATATGTTGCTCTTTAAATTTTATCAGCCGACGGAAGGTCAACATTATGAAAGGAAGATTTTAAAACATTTAAGATGAAATTGGGGAGCACTGTCATGGTTTGGTCTTAGTTTCTTGAGTCACTATACATCTGTCTCTAGGGAACACTCTGACATCATTCTACTGGGTTCTTGATGGACCCCCCACCCCCCTAAAAAGCAGCAGATACCCCAGAATCAGGGGTGGGATTCTATCAGTTCAGACTGATTCAGGAGAGCCGGATATTAAATTTGCACCTGGTTCACCAAACTGGTATATGAACTGACCGGCTGGCCCCGCCAACCCCTCCCCTCCCAGGAGTCTCCATGTGAGCCATTTTCGATGGTGTGTGCAGAGGCTCTGGGAGGGGGAAAAACAGGCCTTCTAGAAGTCTGGAAATGGGCCTGTTTCCGGCTTCCGGAGAGCCCCCAGAGTCCAGGGGAGGCAGTTTTCACCCTCCCAGGGCCCGAGGAAAGCCTCTGAACCCTTGGGAAGGCGAAAAACAGTCCTCCCGGAAGTTCAGATAGGCCACGCCCACCATGGCCACGCCCACCCAGCAACTGGGTGGAGAACTGGTTGCTGGGATTTTTGAATCCCACCCCTGCCCAAAATTTGAATCACCGTACAATAAAAACAGGACAATCGTGTTCACGGTGGGAAAAGGAACAGGATTTTTTTGAATATATGCAGTGTTTCGGATAAATATTTCATGCAACTCAGTCTGTTAAGATACAAGAACATTATTTTTATCAGCATTTGCCTCTATAGGCTGGTGATTTTATGAAATTAGAAATACAAAATCATACAGTTTTATTCTGTAATCAAGAGTACAATCTGCACCCCCCCACACACACACAGTGTTGTATATATCCTCTAATCCCCAGATTAGATATCTCTTCTATCTCCTTCCAGCAAAGAAATGAAAAAGCTTTTGCATAATCCAAAAAAACACACAAAAAACAGCTTAATATATTTTAATAAAAAGCAAAAATTATCCAAGTCATTTGGGGTGTGAAAAAAACCACCAATGGCTTCAGCACTGTTTATGTTTATAGAAATAGTTCTGGCCACCATTGTCCCAATAGTCCTTGGCTGTCCGGAACATCTTTGACCAATGACAGTCTATGGTAGATTCATGCTAGAAATCTCTATTTATTTCTTCATACAAAATGAAATAATTTGGGAAATATCTTCAGCCAGTTCAGGGAAAAATACTTCGTTTTACTGTAGCTCCTCTGAAAAGCAGAAGCCAACATGTGTTAATTATTACAGGGCCTAATATTGGATTACAGTTCCCCCCCCCCTCCAGTTTCAAGAAAGCTGCACTATTTTTTCTTAACCTCCAGAAAGTAGGTGCCTACAATTATTCTTTCAAGGTTTCATTTGGCAGTACCTCTATTGGTGATTAACTATCTTTCTAAGGAAAACCAGGCTGGTGGTCCATGGGATGTGAATACTGTCAAAGTGCAGAGTAAATAACTTAGAAAGAGGATGATGATTTAGGAAGGCTTTGGAAATTCATAGGTGAATTCGAACCGGCCAGCTTGTTGTCATCTTTTCATGAGTAGATATAAAATACAACCCCGTATGGGCCAGGATCCAAGGAATAACATAGCTTGTTCTGGTGCTCGAATAGACGGGTAAATTTCTTACCATGCATTTTGGGAAAACAATGGAAGTTTTCAAGCATTTTTAGGGCAACATTCATGAAAAACAGGCTGTGCTGTTGTGGCCACTATTTTTATCCCAACTTATTAAAACATCTCTGATTTTAGGATGGGAAAGTGCTCCTTGCTTTCTTGATTTTTTTTAAACACAAGCGTTGTGGCAAGGATTCTATTCTCAATTCAAACTGAAGCATGAATTTTGATTGGAAGAGTCCCTACAAGGGGTCGCCATTTTTTGTCCATAATTACACAGAGCCGTGATGGTGCAAGTGGTTAAGAAAGCAGTATTGCAAGTAAACTCTGTCCACTGCTAGGAGTTCGATCTTGGCTCAAGGTTGACTCAGCCTTTTACCTTTCCAAGGTGGGTAAAACGAAGACCCAGACTGTTGTGGGCAAAATGCTGACTCGGGAAACTGCTTAGAGAGGGCTATAAAGCACTGTGAAGTGATATATAAGTGCTATTGTTATCTTCCTTCCTCCCTCCCTCCCTTCCTTCCTTCCTTCCCTCTCAGTGGTTACAATGCAGTTTTGCAGGCTAATTCTGCCAATTGCCAGGAGTTCGATTCCGACAAGCTCAAGGTTGCCTCAGCCTTCCATCCTTCCGAGGTGGGTAAAATTGTTGGGGGCAACATGCTGACTCTGTGAACCACGTAGAGAGGGCAGTAAAGCACTATGAAGTGGTATATAAGCCTAAGAGCTATTGCTATTCCAGGCACTTGGCAACCAACTCACCTTGATGCTCAGTTGCAGAATTCTGTCGTCACACAGCTTTGATTTCCAACGTTTTTGATGGCTTTTGACCTTGCTCATTGGTTTCCAACAAAAAACACCCATAGGAATATATATTGATTTTCTTAATGATCATGGCTTTCACTTAATGACCATCATATTCACTTAATGACCATGACATTACTGCTGCAAAAAAGTTGCAAAATCTGCTCTGCTCATGGGCACCTTGACTTATGACTGTTAGACTTATGACAGAAATTCTGGGCTCCGTTAGAGTCCTAAGTCGAAGTTACTATACTTGAGATTAACATTCACTCTCTCTTGTGCCTTGTGATATAAAAAAGGCTTCTCTCTTCCCCCTTATGAGAGGTATGTATCTTCCTCAATCTCAGGTCCTCTCCTGGAAGCCTGAGAGTTTCAGGATTCTATGCAGGATCTCAGCTGTTTTCAGCATTGCGTCTTCCTGACAGACAACTCTGATGTTTCTCCTAGATCTGTTGGAGCCACTCTCCCATCTTAGAACACACAGCCCTGAATGCTCTTATCATCACTAGGACCACTCTGGCCTTAACTTTCTACATCCTCTCCAGTTCCTCCTTCAGGTCCGGTATTTCTCCAGCTTCTCATAGTCCTTCCTGATATTGCTTTCACTTGACACTTGGTAGGTATATATCATTACCACTATCTTCTGGTCCTTGTCTATACCATGATGTCTGGTTGATTGTCCAGAACCTACTTGTCTGTCTGGATCTGGAAGTCCCATAGGATCTAAGCTGATTATATATTAATAACGGAGAATATTTGTAGCGCAGGGTTGAAATGGAGGGTCCTTGGTGCTCTCTGAACTTGGTTGACATATAGATATATACAGTAGATTAGATATATAGATTAGATAGATAGATAGATAGATAGATAGATAGATAGATAGATA